CCTGACCCTCCACTGTGGTCTGACCTCCTCCTTGCTCACCACAGTCCCCACAGACTAGGCGTCATATGTTTCTTGTACACACCCAGGCCTTTCGCACTTGCTGTCTCCCGTGCCCGGAGCACCACCACTCAGCACTCAAGCCTTGGCTCCAGTGCCACCTCTTCAGACGGCCTTCCCTCACCCATCACCACTCTCCACCCCAAGAATTCCTTATTCTCTTCAAAGCACTTATCACTACCTGCAACCATCTTAAACTTTTACTTTCTCTCTCTCCCACTAGGATGTACACCATGAGGGCAGGGACTATATCACCATGTCACCAATGCCCGGAGTACTTCCTGGCACATCAGAAGTGCTCAGTAAGTGTTTGTAGAAACTGATTAAATTAAATAAGATCATATATATATGTATACACATATATAAAGCTCCAGCGTGATGCTTATCATGGCTTGAGAATAATTTGTGCATGTGCTCACCTCTGATGGTGGACGGCAGCTCCTAATTGGTTAGGACGAGAGCTGGAACATTGAGGGTATTCAGGAAATATTTCCTGGCAGAGAGCACTCAGCTGGGGGCTACCTGACTTCAGCCTCTAAGCCTGCCTCCTTTCTGGTGGAATTTTTCAGAGACCCAGTAGGACTTTTCGCAATGGTTACCGCTCTTTTAAATCTGTGCATGGTAATTGGCATGAATAGATGGTCTTCATAGAAGATAATTGTCCCTATCTTTTTGTGAATGAAGAGAAGAACTGGATTTTCTCCAATATTTCCTATTTATAGACTAAAAAAATTCTTAAAATATGTCTAAATTTACATGAACTGAGCAGTTTTAGGACACCTTCCATTGTATGTCACCATCTTCGCCATTAAAAGCTTGGTGTTTCGTTTTCTGGGCTCACTCCTTGCCTCTTCCCCAGCCAGTTGCCAAGTCTAGTCTGTTTCCCACTCTGAACATCCCCCTGGTCTGGTTAGTTGGCTTGCCTCTCACCATCTTCCCAGGCCATTGCAGCAGCCTCTTCAGTTCTCTGGCTGTCGGAGGGAGCACTGATGGCTTCTCTCTCCCCAACATACAACTCTCCTTGCAGGATGAGGTCCACATGCGGCGGCGCACCACCTTCAAGACTAGCCCTGTCACCTTTCTGACTTTTTCACCTGCTCCTTGCACTTCACCCTCTGACAATACAGCTGCTATTTCTTCTGCCTCCACCATGTCCTTACTGCCTGACTTCCGCCCACACCCACCGGGCATGCCTGACTCCATTTCTGCGGGTAGCACTCTCCTCCTTCCTTTGAAACTCCACCTAGAAGTGCTCAGGAAGTCTTCAACGACCTGTGTACTTTAGCCTCCTCCACCCCACACCTCCCACTTCTTGTTACTATCATTCTATTGTTACAGGCCCAAGGGATAGAATCACCCACTGTCCATCTATGGCAGATTGTATTTTCCTAAATGGCTGCAACAGTACCTTTCATCATGCATGTCACTTTGACACACCCATGCTAAGAGGTGGGGTACCTACACCCTCCCCTTGAATATGGGGGGCTGGTGACTACTTCAATCAATAGGATGCACCGGAAGGGTTGTAATGTTATTTCTGAGCCTGGGTCATAAGAGACCATGCAGCTTCAGCCATTCACTTTGCAGACACAGCTGGCAATCTGTGAGGAATCCCAGGCGACGTGGGGTTACCACATGGGGGTATCGACAGCCTGGCTGAGGCCTCAGCTGCAGGCCAGCACCAGCTGCCTGACTCAGGAGCGAGTAAGCCTCTGAGATGGCTCCAGCCTTCATCACTGTCCAGCCGCAACTGAATGACGGTTCCTAGCAGGATAACCTAGGAGAACCCTGTCAGCCCCCAGGACTGGAAGGCCAACAGTAAAATGACTGTGGCTGTTTCAAGCCACTATGTTTTGGGTATTTGTTACACTATTACAGAAAACAGGAACACCACTTGTGCATTGTTATAATGTGCCTCTCTACCAGTTTGAGCTCCCTGGGAGCAGAGAGTGGGTTCAGTTCTGCCTCAGTGGCATAGTCCCTGGTTTCCATGGGCAATATCTAAAGATGTGGTACAGAAGTCAAATGATTCCCCATCCATGTACAGTACTGGTCTTGCTCCTGGGCAGCTAATGGACTCTCCCCAATGCTGGGACCTCATTTTTAGGCTCCCCTTTAAATTAAAGGCACCCCTTCTATTCCCTGATTCCCTGACCCTCCTTCAGGAGGACCTTGGAACACCACAAATTCCTCAGCATGAGAATTTACCAACTGCTCAATTGCTGTCAAGAAAGAGTCTAGGGCTTCAATAAACACCATGTGTCAAAAAGGCAGAAGACGAGGTACCATTGACCCTTAGCACTCACTTTTGAACATTTAATGATGTAGATCATTTGAAGCAAACCCAAAGGTCGCTGTGCCATGTGGCTCTGCTGAGGCTGGCAGCTGAGTCAGGAGGGGAGGTTGGCGTGTGCAGTGAGTCATGGCTAATGACAAAGCCAGCTAACACCCACAGCCACGTCTCCACAGGAGTCTCTGCTGCCTTCCTGACCAGCCCTGGGCACACAGAGGAAGCCAGCTCTCTGGTGCTAGGGGTTAAAGTCTAAGAAGATGATGGCTGTTGGCAGGCAATGGAATTCTACTGAGCAATATTTCCATATCTGGGGATTTGCGGAGATCTCCACATATGTTCTTCCCAAATGCCAAGGGCCTCATGCTCAAAAGGGCAAGGAAGGTGAGCTTCACTGACTTGTCAATGCCGGGAAAGTCACCCATCTTGTGGGGTGGGTATGGAGGAAATTGTGAAGATCTGTTGTGTTGCTTTTAGCAGATGAATTGTGGGGACAGCCCCACTCAGCTGCTTCCTGCTGCCCTTGAACCCTGTGTTCCATCACTGCATCCCCTGGGCCGGGAAGGGGGCTTCGGTATCCTGTCTCCCCTGCAGGAAGGTGACTTTGAGTGAAGCATTTCTGCACAGGGCAAGTTCCTGGGGCCCTGAGACACTGCGGGCTGTCAGCAGCTGGGTGAGCCAGGGCACCAGGCCCTCCACATTCTGGGTTTAGCTGGTACGACCACCTATGGCATTAGTCTTAACCAGGAATGGGTGAGTCTCCACCCCTACACACAGAGACCCTGGTACAAAGAGATCAAACCACTTGCTCATTTGAGTGAAATCAATGTACTATGATGTTAAACTGGAAGATTTGCCTGCAGCTCTCAGATACCAAGGAGCAATGGAAAGGCCTCTCCAAGACCTCCTGTGACAGAGATAGCCAAACATCACCGTCGCAGCTCACAAGCCCCTCACGCACACTGAGGGTGTAAACTAGTGTGAAAGTGTCCAGAGGACGGCTGTTTTCAGCAAGAGGATTTTGGAGAGAGCTGAGGGTGTGCACTGTACCCCTTTAGCCCCCTAGAGGGGCAGGGGGATGGTGACTGAGTGCCTGCTGCTCACCTGAAGCCTGCAGAGAGGCACTTCAGGGCCCAACCTGTGCAGCCGAAAACAAAACAGAGACTCGTTTTTATGTCTAACGTCACCATTGGACTTTTTATTTTTAAGAACAAGCAACAAAGGCACAGAACTGCTTTCTGATTATTTTCCCTGAGTCTGGCTTGTACGGCATATGCTGAAAGCTTGAAACTGCCAAACAGCCCTTGTTAAAGTGCTTTCAGTGGTTCAGAATGACAGCCACACTCAACATCATCTGTAGAGACAGGCAAGGCTGGGCTATCGTCCCTATTTGGCAGATGAGGAAAGGTTCTGAAAGGCTAAAAAATTGATAAAGGTCAGAGAAAGAGCCTCAGCTAGGTTGGGCCCTCCGGTTTGGTCTTCTCATCTGTCTGATCTTGTTTAGAATTACAGTTCTGAGCTAAGCTCTCGACCATTTACCCATGTGTAGAATCAGAACACCATTTCTATATGCAGCATGCTAAAAACAGATGCCACAAGGTTAGAGCTCTGGTAGGAGGATTTTTGCCTCCTCCCTGTGCCCTAAGTATTTGGGGTAAAATTCTGATAGTCAGGAAGGAAAAAAGCTGCTCAGTGTTGGAAGCATGTCTGAAGTGCATGAAGTTCTAATCTCTATAAATTGTGAAACAAGTCACAGCCCTCCTTGTTCACTGACAGAAATATTCATCAAGCTAGAAGCTAATTGCACAGAAAAACCCATGATTCCCATTCTTGATGAGACGTTCCATCATCACATCCAAGTCACTGTGCCTCCAACCCCACTGGCTGCCATTTCCTCATGTTTTGCGTGGGGACCTTGTGAGTGGAGAGCTCTAACACTGGAAAAGGTGACCTGGAGGCTGGTGCAGGATGAGTAAGGACAGGCAGCCAAAGCTCCTTGCCCAGGGCCTAACCCCGGCAGCTGCCCAGCAGCACGCACTCCCTCTGCAGGCCTGGATCCTCTGGTTTCATGAGTTTTCTGCCAGACCCACATGAGAGTCAACCCGGGACACACACTGACTGAGCCCTTGCCCTCTGTGTGACGAGAGCAGCTCCTAGCCTTCTGTGTGCCTGATTTTTCTCTAGGTTGAGATATTTATTAGCTACTCTTTTTCTGCTTGGCTACCACAAGACTGACAAAGAGGCAGTGCAGGAGTCATTCATGGATAATATCAGGTCCCACTGGTTATGTAAGAGACAGTGATCACAAGGCAGGGCGCTACCGCATTATCCTCTCAAATCTGGTTTAACTCTGTGTGGGTGCCTATGTGCGTGCGTGGTGTGTGTGCCCTCCAATCAGTGTATCTTTTCTGTGTGCCAGGTACCATGCTAAGGACATTCCAGACATAATCTTCTTTATTATTATTTCCATCTTGCAGATGAGGAACCTGAGCCCCAGAGACTCTGTCTGACTTGTCCAGTATCACACAGCTACTAAGTGAGGAGTGAGGCTTGCACACAGGTCGGATGAACTCCTCAGCGGCACTGTGTGGAGGGCCAGACCACAGTCCTCCCAGAGTTCTCCAAACTCCCCCGTCCGCAGCCTCCTTCTTACCTAGGGCCTTCATGTAGCCTTCAAAGTTGTCATTACTCTCCATTTCCCAGGTTCCACTTTGGTCCCTCGTCATGGTGGAAGCCTCTGGTTCAGTGTGAGTGTATGGTGGATGTCAAGGAGCAGGCTGTCGGGAGAACACATTGAAATGAGCTACTTTTATAGCCTAGTAGGAGGACCAGGTTTATGGAGCTGAAGATAGCAGGATCAAAGTTCATAAACACAGTCTAAAGGAACTTTCACTTCCTCTGCAAAGTTCAGCAGTACTATGTCAATCCATGCTCGAAGGGCAGGTGCGGCCAGCAGGGGGCCCATGGACCTCCACTATATGCAGGGCTCTGGAGCAGCTCCTTTTCGGCTGGCTGGGCTTCACTAGAGCCCCAGGTCTAACCAGAATACTCCACCAGCACTTGAGGAAAACAAACGCCCAGTGTCCATCCAACATGTGCTACAGGCCACCAGTTCCCAGGTTCAAGCCTGGAGCCTGTCCTGAATGTAGCCGGCACTTCTGGTCTGGATGGTAAAACCAGGACGATGGGGCCTCACACCTGTGGAGCTCTGCTCTGCTCTGCTGAGCAGTGTCCACTCTTCATTTTGTTTTAGTTACAAGAACTCTGAGTTACATTTATCCATCTCCATTTTACAGATGAGAAAAGCTCAAGGAGGTTATATCACATGTCTAATAACAACTAGTAAGTGGCTGAGCTAGGATTCAAAACCAGGCCTGCCTGGCTCCAAAGCTCTTTCTTTTCCAGTGTGTTAAGGTCAGTTTAGACACTGGGTTAGAGTCTGAGTTGGGAATCTGGCCCCCCTTGCTTTCCAGGAAGGTACTCAGGGCTTCTAAGCAGTAGGGTTACTCCAGAAAAGTATGTTGTAGGAGCACGAATCTGCTGAAAGCAAGTTAAGCCTGGAGGGAGGCCAGCAGGGAGGCCAGCAGGGAGGCAGAGGCATTTTATTTCGAGACAACAAGAGCAAGCCAAGAGGGTCTTGATCAAAGTGTTGGGGGCATATCAGGCATTTGGACAAGGGCTGCGCTCTAAACCAGTTGTCCTAGTAGGTCAGAAAATGGTTTGGTTTACTGCTCTGATGCATGGTTCTGAGAGATGAGGCCTGAGCAGGGGCCCCCTACACTCAGAAGAATGGAGGTGTGGGCTGAGATGGATAAACTACAAGTCCCCAGAGGCAAGGCCAATTTTGTTTTTGACACTTTGGGGTTCTAATGTAAGTATTCTTGCGTTGTGAAATCTAAGCAAGTGGTTCTGTCTGGGTGTAGTTTGGTTTATATATATATATATATATATAATAAAATATAAAATAAGTATTGTTATTAAAACAACACATTACTTTTCAGTAAATATATCAGAATGAGGAAAACATACAGTCAAAAATGGCCCAGCTGTTGTCAAAAGGCCAATGTAGGACAGGGGAGGGGAGTTAAAGACAACTTTCCCCAAATCAGAAAATGAGTGAAGGCAGCAGAAGTGGACACGCAGGAAGCCTTGGGCTTCATCCTACTGGTCCAGTCAGAGGCTGCTGGCTGAGCAGTCAGCCTCCTGAGTTGGAAACTTAGTTGTCTTCTCCAGGTTCAGATTCAAGGGCCTCCTAACAGCCCCTTATACTCTCAGCTGAATCTCCTATAAGCCTCCCTTGAAAGAAAGTAGCAGAAAGCTGGCCTGTAGGAAAGGGGCTGGGGGCATGAGTGGGCTTCTAATTGCAATAAGCCAGGGACTTGGGTTTTAATGGGCAGGGGATGGGATGGGGAGCGTTCACACTGTGCAAGGCAGGAGGACAAAACCAATATGCTTGCATTGTGCCAAAACACTTACTCTCTCAGTGAGAGTGTAAAATAGCCAGAGGCAAGAAAGTTTGTCTATTTGGCCTGGGATGTATGTGAGTTAGAAAAAGTTCTGTCATGCTCTGACTCTGGTTTCAGGTTTGAATTCCTGCTAGACAGTATATTAAAGTACAGGGAGTCCTGAGCTTGCAATACTTCCATGCTGCTGGAAGGAAGTACATGTAAAAACTGTCTGGAGGGACACAGCTTCAAACCAGGCCAACGAGGATTCCCATAGTAAAGCTGTGCCAAATGTGAGCTCATAATCCAAAATAGTAAAGCACATATGAAAATTGACCCACCAAAAAGCATCAACAGAAACATAGTCAACTTAGACTTCTAAAAACTTCCAATAATGAAAATGATCAGATATAAACTATAAATATATTTAAAATGGTGTAACTCTGGGGAGAGGAAATCCTGGGGCAAAATACCTCTAAAACCAAAATCAGTCAAGGTTTCAAACCCATTTATTGCTTACGAACTGCAGTCTGGGCTGTCTCTTTCCTGCTCCTGCAGAAGCAAGCAAGACCTCCCCCCAACTTCTCAGGTTCAGATAAGCCCTTGGTCACCTAGATAACTACCCGTAGATATGGAGATGAACTACCTTTCTCCACCCCTAGGAAGACCTGTTGATATGCAGATGCACAAAAGTCAGGTGAGATATTCTGGAAATATTACAATTTTACCCACAGGCCACCCCTCCAGAAATCTTGCTGTACAATCTACTCGTTCCCCCTCTTTCTCACTGGTCCCTGGGTGAGGAAACTGAAGCATTGTGACCAGACTAATGACGTACAATAGCAACAGCAATGAAATCATGATAATCCTCAAGCCAGAGGATTCAGCGAGGTTCAAAGTCCTATGCAGGTTAAGTCTGTAGATCGCCCATTCCTTAGGCGCTGAAGAGGTAGAGGGTTCAGAGCAATTATCACGCAGCAGCTGCACCCAGGGGGCGCATTCAGGTTACAAGGTCTGTAGAAGAAAATAACCTTAAGGGTGATAAGATTTAATGACACCAGCAAAGGCAAATCTTGTCCATTAGGTAGGATACATGCAAGAGAGTTGTCCTGTGATAGAACAGTGGCAGGAATGGGATCTCGTCCTGGTCTAGTATGCCAGACTTTCACCCCCCTCCCTGTGGGAGTTACAGATGGGTCAATGTATAGGGCTATGGGAGATACATGCACTCACCGTAAATATAAAACAAAACTTCTTGGTAAGATGCTCTTACCTCCCAGATATTTTGGATACACTTTTATGATCTTTGGGGCCCACTCTGCTGTTACTCCAGCATACACATGAGGCCAGCTTCCAGGCCTTTTCCCCAAGGTGCCAGAGGGCCCGCCATCACTGGTCCTTGTGTCAAAATGTTCCCAGGTCCATTCAACGGTGTCTCTAGGGTTTAATGCAGTAGGGGCTGGCAGTGGGATGTTGCTCTGCTGGCCATATCCTGGCTTCAACAACTCTTTTATACTTTACACGTACAATTGTATAGAAGAGGCAGCAAGGTGTGTTAGCATATCCAGAGGGATCAAAGCTCCTTCACGTGATTTCTCATTCAAATTCCGTGGCATTGTCCATAGGGAACTAACCAGCCCTGTAGACTATTGGTGTCCGATTTCAGGCCAGATTTCAACAAACCATTGTATCTTTCTATCATGCCTTTCCCGGAAGGGTTATATGGTACAGGAAAAACTTCCACTTTATTCCTAATTGCCGCACCCATCCTTGTAATGCTTGTCCGGTAAAGTGGGTGCCATGATCGCTCTCAATCACCTGTGGCCGGTCATAGGCTGCAAAGAGATGCTCTAGGTCTCTCTTGGTGGTTTGCTGATCTGCACGACGTGCAGGAAAAGCAACCAATAGTCCAGTAGCCATGTCCACAAGTCATGGCATACCGATATCCTTCTGATGTGGGCAGAGGCCCAATATAGTCTATTTGCCACCTGACAAGGGGGATAGTGCCAGAGTCCAGCTCCAGAGAGTCCAGGAGTCCCCGAAGGAGGAATGACGTCATGACTGGTTGAATGAGTGAGGACACAGACTCTAGCAAAGTTGTTAAGCTGAGCCTGGCCTTTAATGAAAAGTAGCAGTCTGTTTATATACTTTTTGATTACATAAAGTACAGATATTAATCATTTAATTGACATATAGGATGGTTACATGAGTTTAGAAAATGAGATTAAATCATTTAGCATGTCCTAGCAGTCTACTTTTTTCTGAGTAAGCTTTGTTTCTAGTCACTGTGGTTAAAAAGTCTTACAAAGGTTAGGTAGTGCTAGACTCTTGGTTTTTTTTACAGATGACTATTTAAAGTTCGCTATTTTATTGTTTTTATGTAGGGTCCTCATTCTTTCATAGCTATACTCCCATTCCTCATCTCCGGTAGGAAAGAAAGAGGCTCTCTCCAAAAGGACATGATGACCTTTTTGGCAAGCAGGGACAAATTTTATGGACTGTGCCTCGACCCATTTTCAGTAAGACTTACAATGGAGATTTTTCTGATCTGGAATTAGGTAATGCCTTGTTCTCATTTGTTTTATAGTTTGCCAGGCTGTTCTTTGGTGGGCTAGCCAAAGAATATCGTTTGTTCTCTGTACCCACCTGTTGCCATTAATCATCGAATATGTCGTTTGGAGGCCACGTAGGGGCGGGGAAGGGACCTCCACCCAAACAAATCTCCCCTATCTTTTTTCCCATAAACTTGGGTCCAATACTCATGGGGTCCCACCTTCCCATCATTGGGGTAGTCACAAGGGCAGTAGTGGTTTTTTCCAATTTCCTTTAGGGCCAGTACCTAAAATTTTCAGGGAGAATTGGATATGGCCTCTTCCCTGAAGGGACAGCTTGAATTGAAACCGAAATAACCAAATTTATTAGGAGGAACATTTTGAGCAGGAGGGATATCCGGGTTGCTCCTCCGGGAAGGCCGCTGTGCAGTCCCTGCCATCTGACTGCCTGGACCGTGTCATCAGGCTGGCTGTTCAGACCGCCTCCTGACAGTATAGACCCCCTTACTATTGTCTCATGTTGCTGCAGGACTCAGTGTAAGTCCCTCTTAGAGCACACAAGGCACTCCTTCTGGACTTGGCTGACTTCTTCAAAGGTCAACTGTAAGCCCTGCTGACAGGCTACAGCCCACATTGTCTTTTCCCCCATATGCAACAAATGCTGATTGGGCCACATCAGAGGCAGGCTTTCCTTCTAGCCAGTGCACCTGGGCCAATATGTCTGCTTCATCATTCCCTGGGGATGCCAAAGGTAAATGTCCACTCACATGATACATGGTAACTT